CAGTGGCTTGTTTGGGGCTTGTTTACCCCACACATTGTAAATTCCATTTAGCACCTGTTTGTTCTTATTGCAATGTAAACATAATATAATCCAGATTTTTGAACTCTTTTTCAAATCCAAGATAATGTTATAACTCCATGTGCAATATGTACAAGTTCCTACTGTATAGTGTACAACCCAGTTCAGCCTAACTATTATGCATTTGGAGATTTTAGCTCTGCATTTTTTCTGGAGAAAAATAAACCTAACTTTACCATTTCCCTTCTCTCTTTCTATGTAACCCACCTTCAGCTCCACCATTGTTTCTTCAGAACATGATAATGGCTGCATGCGTTTCTATTAGGGTTTATCAAGCAAGAATCTTGTTAGCTAAAACTCTCTCCATTCTTCAAAATAAAAATGGGTTTGTTTCAACACTCACTCACTTTTAAAAATCTACACTTTCTTGAACCCTTTGTTTTTTCCTCTATGAAAACCCCCCAAAGGATTATTTTCTTCTAAAGTCTGTAAAACCATCCACTGATTCCTTTCAAAACTCATTCTTTATACTTGTTTTTTTGGGTGCATTATGGGTTGTGTTGCTACAAAGTTAGAAGAAGAAGAGGAGGTGGTGACTATTTGCAGAGAGAGGAAGCATTTCTTGAAGATGAGGAAACAGATAGTACACACGATCGATGAAGATGAGGAAAGAAAAACATAGGATCTATAAAGTACAAACCTGATACAATCGAGACCCACGATGGTGAAGAAACCGGCGACCGACGAGTAGCTAAGGCAACCGGCCACCGACGAGGCTGTGGAATCGGCGACTGAAGACACCTTCGCCGGAGAAGAGGGAGGCGCCGACTTGGGTTGCTGAAAAATGTGCGGCTGTTTTGTGTGGAAGGGTAAAGATGGAAAAAGGATGATCTGAATGGTTTAGTGAGCTCATACCTTCAAAATGGTTAAGAGGTTTGTGTAACCATTAAGAGGGGTTTTTTTTTTTTGCCAAACACATCACACCTCTTACCGATTAAGAGGCAGCCTCTTAATGTCGCCATTAAGAGGCAAACAAACAGTCCTTAATTTGATATGGGTCTTTATGACTAATTATATGTTATGTTTAAACGTTTATAAACTAAATTATAAGTTAATTTATTAAAATATTATTTAAATAAGCATTTTAGTAGTTTGTTGTCATTTTTCAATTATAACATTCATTAATGTTAAATATTATTTATTATTATTAATTATAAACAAATATTAATAAAACTGAAATGTTATTATTATTAATTATTGATAAATATTAAATAATTTTAGTTATACTATAAGCGTACTCGCGCAATGCAGCGAGATACATCGTAATTTTAATATTTCATTTT